CAACGGTATGAAAATATTGCACCTTGTTTATTGACTCCTGTAGTGTGTGGCAGCGGGTGTGTATACGGCGTGTGGTTATAGTTATATAGATAGATAATATGTGCTGAATATAGAATACGAAACAGAAAGGAAACCCGGTAACACCTCCCGTGGGCCACCGGGTCCCATTATTTGTTCAGCCTCCCCGCCCCAGCCCCAACTTTTGATCTTATTTGGCTGGTTTTCCTCGAAGAGTCCTGAGTCCCCCGACAGTCCGACAATCCGGAGATCTGGACTGAGGTATCTGCTGCGGAGGGGAGGCAGCTGGGAAATGAAATCGACTGTGCTATGGCGCTCCAGGCCCGCAAAGGTGGCAGAGGTTAGGTAGGGTCTGGGATTTCTCAAGCCACGACCCCTATTTTTCTCTCCTTCATACTTTTAATTTGTTCTCTCCTTGGGCTCCCTGACAACGCTTCGCCAAGTCCGCAGAAAGGCGGAGGGAGAGAAGCCCTTCTCGCTTTGGAATAACCAAACGCGGCCAGGGTTCTAGCCTCCTGCACTCCCCTCGGTGCCAAGATCGGGGCCATCGTCTTCCCCGGCGCCCAGCCCGCGTTTCTGCCTGAGAGACAGTCCTGGCGAATAGACCCGGGCATTCTCCTCGCCCCCGAGCCCCCTTCGCTAGGCCTCGAGTGAGCTGCAATCCGAAGTCCTGAGGAGCGAGAAGTATATATATATATTTTAACGAGGGGACCTGACCCTTAGGTCCGGCCCTTCTCGCCCTTCAGTCCCGCGGCGCCAGGCTGCGCTGGGGTGCCTGCCGCGTGACCGCTCAGTCCCTACCAGGCCCGGATGCCCTGCAAGGTGCCCTGAGCGCACGCGGCCCCAGCTGCAGCACCCTGGTGCAAAGGCTGTGCGCTACCGCCGCCGCCGAAGCCTCCTAGATTGCTCACGTTCACAAAGGGGCCGCCTCCGGCTGCGCTGCAGGCGGGCTGCATAGCAGTGCTCGCCGCGGAGGTCCCGCCGCCACCGCCGCCGCCCGCCGGGTACGCACAGCCGTAGCTGCCACTGTAGGCTGCGGCGGCCGCGGCGGCGGCAGCTGCGGCGGCAGCGGCCGCGGCCGAGTTCCCGTAGCCGTAGGCGGGGAAGCTGTTGTAGGAGTAGGCGCTTGCGCCCACGCTGTAGGGCGCGCCATAGGCCTGCGCGCTGGGCGTGACGCACGGCTTGCCGTCCCGCACCAGCACCGGAACCGCCACGCGGCGGGGCGGCGGCGGGGCCGCGTGTGCGCCCAGCTCCAGAGACTTGTCCTGCCGCTGTCTCTTGCACTTGTACCTGCGATTCTGGAACCAGATTTTCACCTGCGTGGACGTGAGCTTCAGGCTGCTGGCGAGGTGCTCGCGCTCGGGCGCCGACAGGTACCGCTGCTGCTTGAACCTGCGTTCCAGCTCGAAGACCTGGGCTTGCGAGAAGAGGACTCGAGGCTTCCGGCGGCTGCGTGGTTTCGGCCTTTCGCTCTCCTCCGCCGCTTTGCAGTCTCCGGCCGCCTCTAGAGGTTTCTTCAGCTGGCAGCTTTCTGCAGAAGAAGCAAACAACAGCGTACTTAACTGTTCCCGGCCGCACCGTGGCTCCTGTCCTGGAGCACTGCGGGCCCCTTTTGGTGGCTGCGCAGAGCGTTCGGTAGTAAATGCCTGGACTTTTTGGAACGTTTGTGGCTCCTGGTGCTGTGGGACCCTGCGACAGCCCCAGTACCCAAAGAACGCCCTCAGCCGGCGGAGGCACGTTTCGTGGGTAGGGGTAGTTAGTGCGTATTTATTTGGATCTTGAGCATCTGCAAGAGAAGAGATTACTCTGTATTAAATGTGCGACTCGACGTGCTAATGACTATTTTCAGGATGAAGGCTTGCAACTACATAGTAACTACAGTATTTGCAAACTCGTTTACCTTCTATTCCACAAGGATAGCTGAAGGTGTGAGTCGTGTTGGTATAAGTGGGGCGGTGTGCATAGATTGCATAAAAATCTGTTCCTAGTGTAACGCTTGTGCATGGCCCAGGGACTTTGTGTGTGTGTGTGCCTTATAAAAAACTACATGCAAGTGTGATAACAATGTCTGTATGCCCTTTGAAAATGAAGTTTGATTGACTAGTTATAGACAGTTTCATGCCGATTTTAGGCCTTGGAAACTGAGCATAGGCCTTGGCCTCTGCCACATTAAATTGCCTCTTGGGGAAAGACTGTGATTCTGTCCTCTCAAATACACTTCCTTGAGGACTTTATTCGATTATCCTATTTCCCTATCAATTCGCTTCCTGTCCGATGTGAGCAGCCAGGATCTAGGACTAAGTTCGGCGCGTTTTCTATTCCTTCCGCAGCCTGAGACACAAAGCAAAACGTTACGGATTTTCAAAAACGGCTGGCGCCTTAGGGGTGTGAGAGCTACGGCCCCTTGGAATAGGCAATGTTCCCACGCACTCTCTGACCGTCTCCTCTCTCTCTGTACTCGGTACCATGGGTTTAGGGAAGCTGAGTTCCAAGCCGAGAAGGGAGGAAACCACCCAGCTGGCCTCCACCAAAGTTCCTGCGCCCTGCGGATGCGAGACACACAGGCTGCTTGGGCTGTCTTTTCGGAGACGAAGGGGTGACTGCCGTGGGCTAAGAGAACTCATCTCACCCTAGACGGAAAGCGAAAAATGTCCAGGCTCCTGCCCTTTTTTGGGGGGGAAAGAGTCTGTTGAGGGGAGAAGAGCAAAAACACTACCAGTTACGAGGACCCAGGCGCTGAGCCAGCGTAGCCTCTCAGCATCAGGGCAGCAGTAACCACCTCCCCTTCCCTTTGGTGGAGAGCAGTTGTCAGGGTCACCTCATCCTTGTCTCTCCGCCCTGGGTCCCTTGCAGGTACCTGCGCTTTGTGGAGCTGTCGGTGACCAGGGCGGAGGCAAGGCCCCAGCCAAAGGGTAAAGGGGTGGGCAGCCGCGCTGGCAAGGTTTGTGGGCGCTTTGCGGGCACTCTGCCATTGTTCCAGGTGTGCGGGTGCGTTTCCTTTTCCCCTCTACTCACTTTGGCTCCGGTCCCTCACGACCTCGGGCTCCTCTTCATGTTCCTTGGGCCGGCTGCACGAGTCTCGCAGGACCGTGTGGACATAGCCCTGGGTACACAGCCCTGAATCCCTGTGGCCGTCGGCTGCAGCTAGTGAGTTCAAATAGGACAATTTCTCGCCCTCTTCTTCCTCGTCCTCCTCCCCTCCGTCAGAAAATTGTGTGCCCTCAGCTGCGGCCAGCATGCAGGGCGCTGAGTGGAAGTGGTGCTCCAAGTCTGCCTGCAAGTGCGCACCATGAAAGTGCTGCTGCTGTTGCTCCAGATTCAAAATGTCTTTGACTGAGAAAGGGGTGGAGGTGACCGGGCTTGGTAACATCATCAGGGCCACTTAATTGTCCAGTCCAAATAATAAATCCCGGCAGGGGCGGGGAGGCAGCGCGGCGGCTCCAGCTCTCCTCTTGGACTCCGCCGCTGCTGCTGAGTCGGGCTTTTGACAGACGCGGTCCCACTCCAGTCTAAATCGCCTCCATTGGCCGGGACCTGGGGGTCTGGGTTTTGTTACAGCCACTGCAGGGACTGGGGCCCGGGCGGCTAAGCCTCTGTCCGGGAGCCTTGCGTCATGTCGGGGGGCGGGGCCGGCGCCCCAGACTCCCTCCCCATTGGTTCCGGTTCATGGAACCACGCCCCCTGCTCTCACCAAATGGGTTGTTGCGGCCCTACCAGAAATTCGCAAGGACTAGTATAGAGTCCTGAAGTCCGAGACGCTGCGGACCCGAGGCTGCATGGATCCGGTTCCTGAACCACTGATTCCCCCGTGGCTGCACCTTCCCGATTTAGGCCAGTTCTGGGAGGCTTGCTGTCCACAAACCAACGCCAGGGAAGGGTGCCCCAGGAGTGCGTTTTTTTCAGCTGCTGCGCGGGGCAGGAAAACTTCCTGGCGGGTAAATACCGGGCGCTGGATCCACGAGGAGACGGAGTGTTTTCTCTATCTACGGTGGGCGACACATCTGTTTCCACCTTGTTGACCTTGCTCAAGCTTTCTGTCCGCTTGGAACATCTTTCTTACCCGTATCCTCCACGAGTAAAAAGCTGTTCTCCAAGGAAGAGCTCCTAGATCGTCTAGCCGGAAGTCCCCTCTCTTCAGCCTCTGAACCTGCAGCTCGGGTTAACAAAGGACACGTGTGTCACTTCCCACTTAATTCTATAGCTGTACGTGCCTGTCTGGTCGCCTCCATTAGACTGTAAGCTCCATGAGGGCAGGGTCCCGGGGTTGATTTTGCCCTTGTATCTCTGGCAGCAACCGCACAGAGCAGTATGAAAAGGAAGACAGAATTGTGACTAAACTTTGGTATTCGACAGCTCTTGCTTGGCCTCGTCAGTGTGTATATCTTGGGCATTTCTAAGTCTCAGTTTCCTTATCTATACAACGAAAGCAATAATACCTTTTTCAGGGTTGTTGCTAGGGTTGAATGAGGCAAAACGGCCTCACACATGTTAAGCGCTCAGTACTTGTCAACTACTGCTTTTCTGTATGGGAGGTCAAGCAGTGTTTGTTGACTGCATTAGTGGTGCGTGGCTGGAGTGTGGAACACACTGGGTGGCTTCATACGGTGGTTTTGAGAGCAGGAACTGTCCTCACAAGGGAGGGGACCCAGCCTTGGCGGCCTTCTTTTCCGCCTATTGAAATCAGGAGCCTGAGTCTAGGCCTTGATTCTCCGACAGGCTTCTAAAATTTCTCTACCTACACGCCTTCTGGCACCTTCATGAGGCCCTGGTTGTTTTCTGGGGAAATCTATGCTGTCCCCATAGATTCTGGAAACTTCCGCGCTGGTAGGGACCATTTTCTTCCTGTGCAATAGGCATTTGCTCGCTGCTACCAGGCCTAGCCCAGTGAGGAGCAGTGGGCGCTGCTCTGAGGGCCATAGAAAGACCTGTGTGCAGCGCTAGCCTTGAAAACGTACGGACCGGTTCTAGCTCAACCTTGGCTCTCCTTATCCGGCCCCAGCCGCTCCAAGCATTTTTTGGCAGTCAGGATGGCGGAGCTGGAAGACAGCCGCCTCAGCTGGAAGGGCAGGTGAAAGGTGCAGGGAGGGTGGACATTGCCTCCGAGCGGCGTAAGACACCGTCTGGGAGTGGGTAAGAGGGTGAAGGGCTGCCATGAGGGGCCCGCAACGGCGACAGGAGTGGGTGCCCAAGGCTGAAGGGAGAAAGAACAGCCTGTCAGGAGCGGGGAGAGGCGGGGCTCTTCAGAAGGGAGCGGAAATGTTGTGGAGAGGCAGCCCCTAGGTCCGCGGGGGGCGAGCTGGGATGCCGCGCGGGCCACGTGCGCCCCGGAGTACTTAGGGTGGCGGCGGCCCGCAGGCGGTGGGGAGAGACCCTCTGTGGGCAGGGTCTTGCGCCGGAACCGCCATTCCTCAGCCACAGGGGCGCCCGGTGTCTTTCTGCTTTAAATCCTGAAAGTATTGATGCCTCAGGCGGAGGCCGGTGTCTGCAAACCAGGCGGTGAGTCTGCAGAGGGAGGAATGTGCCTGGTTTTGCCGTGGATCCCGAGCGCTCAGATGCAAAGATTCCGAGGTGGGGGCAGAGGGGTGCAAGGCACTGCAGGGTGGGGTGTTGGACCTCGAGTGTGAGTGCATTACGGTGGCAGCTGAGCACACAGGCAGGAAGCTGAGCTCTAGCCCCACTTCCCCACTCTACCTCCGGGGCAAAACCATTTTGGTGAAGTGTTTCTGCTCTCTTCTAGTCCCGTTTTTCTTCTCCTCTTGGGTGATTTCATGATTCTGGAAAAAGAAAAGGACAAAGGCTATCGAAACAATCTCTCTCACCCCAGTTTCCAACTGAAGCCTGCATTTCTCCTTGCCACATTCCCTTGCTTTTCAGCCTTGCTTCTCTCCTAGGCCTTACCTAAATCTGGCCCCAACAATCCAGGTCTTAGAACTGCGATCGGGACAAAGCGCCCCTCCAGCGCCTGATGGTCGATACATGCCCACAGACGCGCTGCACCCGCCGGAGCCCGTCAGGGCCCCTCTGTCAGGCCTACTCAAGCCTCTCTACCCAAAATTCCACCTCGGCGGCCCCGGGCCAGGCCCAAGCGGTTGTCTCTTGAGAACCCTGGGCAGGTAGGCCACCAGGGCCTGTGAGGACTCCCAGCGTGGGGAACCCAGGAAAAGGGGTCTAGCGGGTGGCATCTAGGCCTTATTGCAGCTTCCTTTCCCCATTTCCAGCCCTGTGCAGGGCTGATCCAGCATGCGGAAAACCTCTATCCGCTACCGCATCCCTAAGGTTGATCTGAGTTTTATGCCCAGAGCAGGGGTTTGGGTTGTCTCCAACTGCCCTCTCAGTGTTGTTCAGGCTTCCGTTAGTTGCTCTGGTTCCCCAGTGGCCAAGCTTCCCCGCAGGGATTCCCGCAAAGCCAGTGCCATCTAGGTGGCCTCCATTTCGCTCGCGCGAAGCCGGTACCCGCGACGGCCGCGGGCCTGAAAGGAGGGGAACTCGAGAGCAGTCGTTGTGCAGCCGCAGTCGCTCTGCACGAGTCACTTATCAGAGGGTGGGATCTGGTTCCAACGCCTATCCAGTTACGATTGCCTTCTGGGGCATTTGCATTCTCTTGTCTGAAAAGGAGATCTTTGAAATCCTCGAGCTGTGCTCTACTAATAATAGCTTTTCGTTCCAGACAGTTTAGCTAATTACTATCAGATAAAGTAAGTGTGGTTGCATCCATGGAAGCGTTTGATTTTATTTTAATCGAGTGTATCTACCTTCCTACTCTTTCATCACCTCATACATTTATACAAGCTCTCTCTCCCACCCTATGATTAAAGATCATCAGTAAATGGTGGCAAATTCCGTGAAGGGGAAGTGCTGTATAGATGCATAAACGTTTGTATCTTTTTTTATTTTTAAAGAAAAACTACATGCGAGCCATTACAATAAATGCATTATCAAATGAAAAATGTGACAATTTTTTGAAAGCTATAAAGTGTTCTCATAACTGTTATCTGCACAAAGATTGCTTAATTAATGTACCTATAAATATAGGCAGATAATGGATAATTTTAGTTATAAATGCCACTCCTTATCCCGTTGTCTCTCAACTATTCAAATAGTCATTTAATTATATAACCAATGCTACAAACAGGTTGAAAGTTATCGTGGTTTCTAATCGAAATGTAACAATGTAACACTATAATCAGAAGTGATTTTTCTATTAAAGCATGAAAAATTATACTGTGATGAACTCAGCCAAAACATTTCAGGTGAATCTTTTCACCATTTTTAATTGCTTTTCTAGAAGTTTCATTTTCAATGACAACTTTTGAGAGAGAAAGAGAGAGGAAAAGAGAGAAGGAGAGAGAGCCACTAAATTGGTTTTTGTTAATTTGTTGGTGGCAGTGGTGGTGGTGGTTGTGGGGTGTGTGTGTGTGTGTGTGTGTGTGCACACAAGCGCGTGTGTGCTTTGCTTTGGTTTTTAGTTAAGGAATGTTAGAAAGCTATCCAATATTTTTTTTTTTTTAAAGCAATTCAGAAGCAATAGCATTTTAATTGCCAGACGGGGTGAATACACTTTGCGCTTTTAAAGAAATGTCAACTGGGTTGGTGAGTCCTAGAAGGCATTAAACTGGTCTAATTTTTTGAGAGTTTTTTTCTTGTTGAAGGAATTTCTTAAGAGAGATTTTGAAATGCTGTTTTAAGTATTTAGTTTGTTTTGCATGTGTTTGTAGGAATACCAAATTTTCCTAGATTTTATTTGGAACTGAGTTTTTTAAATTAACCAGTATTTCTCTTTCCTGGGAGGAAATTTGTCCAAAATCAGTAATTTGTGTAGTTCTTTGTAAATTACAGGCCCTTGCTGAGAATGTGACTTTTGATTTCTCAAGGAGATAATTTTACAGCTGTCTTTGTGGATCTGCCCCCTCCAAAAATTTTAAAGATAAAAATGTAAATTACACTTTCTTTAACAAAGCCAGTTCTGTTAATGAAACAGTAATGTCGAAAACACTGTATCTTTGTTGAATGAAATCAATTCAAAATTTTTTCAAACAAAAACACATTTAAAAAAAGGACGCCTGTATACAGACATTTATTTGTACTATTTGCGTGTGCTATTTAGGCGTACAGTGAGCAGTTTTAACTTGAGGATTAAATTGGAATTCTGAATGCATTCCTTAACTTTTTTTTATTGTTGCTAGCGTGCATTTAGCTTTCTGTAGCGAAATTTCAATGTGTATAACCCTTTTAAAATGTAATCTGACTTCAGAAGAGTGGCTGCAGTCTTGGGCAAATTACTTCATTTGAACCAGAACTCCTGCCTGCTCCGTGCGGACTGCTGAGCAGTAAGTAGAGGGGAAAGAGAGAGAGAGAAATGTGGTTTCGCGTTCCAAGAAGCAAGAGAGATTCTTTGTGTCTCTTCCAGCGCTATCTCCTCGAAACTGTCTGCTCTCAACCGAACACCCGCTCAGGATCTCGGCCTCCAAGGACATAGAAAGCTTCCTCCAAATTTCCTGGGGGTCACGTTGGCACAAATACCTTCAAACCGTTTGGGAACAAAAAAGACCTTTCTCACTTGGAAAGAAATATTTACTGCAGTCTTTTCTAAGTAACTTAAGTAACGTCTTATCCGGCCCTCACCGCGTCCAGCCTAGAGGTCTGGATCTTTGGTCGGCACTGGGAGAGCGATCTCCAAGGTTCGTCGAGACCTTCGCTGCGTCAGCGGATGGCCGGGTCTGCGGGCCTAACCCCTCATTGCCCTTGGTCCTGAAGTTGCAGGGACCCCCAGCCATCAGCACTGCCTCGGCGAAGTCCCGACTCGGCTCGCCTCACCCTGTGGATATGTGGGGGTTGGCTGGGGCCATGGGCTGCTGGCCTTGCTCAGAATCAGCCAGGGAACCGTAGCGAGGGCCGAGGCACAAAGCCGGCGCGGCGAGTCAGGACGCACGCACGCGACGGGGTCAGGAGTGGCGCGCCCTAGGAGCCAGGTCCAGGCTCTGGACCTCGCAGCCTCGCCTGGGTGTCAGGTTGGAGGTCCCTGGTTTGGTGGCTCCAGGTTGCAGGACTGTCAGGGCTTCAGCCCTCATTGTGCCCTGCCCGCCTCTGGCGCTGCGTCTCTAAGCCCGTGCACTTAGGGCCCGGCAGTGCTGGTCTTTTTCCTGGGCATCTCTCTCCATCCTCCCGCCAACGGCCCAGGGCCCTAGGGAAGAGGGCTAGGGAGACTCGGTTGGCCTGCACAAGCTGAGCCTTTATCCTAGAACGTGCCTCTAGGTTCTCCAACTTCCCTCTGCCTCCCTGTGCTCCTGCCAACCGGAGGCAAGGACCTTCTTACCTCTTAATGCTGGCCACATCCAGAGACCGCGCAAAGCCTCTGAGTCCGGGACCCTGAAACCACTCGTGGTCTTCCCCCTGCAGTCCTCCTCCTCTCCCTCCTGCCAGTCTTTTTCCCCTCGTGGCCCCTTCCTCTCTCACAATCCCATTTTACTCTGCCACCCATTTTCCCTTCTACCCTCCCCCACTTCCTTTCTTCCTCACCTCCTCCCCCATGTCCTCAGCTTCCTTTCTCACTGTCTTCACTCCTCCCCACCCGTTTTCCCTCTTACCCATTTTCTCACTCTTCCCTCATCTTGTTTCATTCCCCCTTTCCCTCCCTTGACCCCTCCACTCTGATGCTCTCAGTTTTTTGATGGTGACCCCTGTAGATGTTTGTTGTGAAGGAAATCAGGGCAGCACAGGAAGGCTGCAGGAGGTGGGGTGAGACTAACTAAACAAGACCCCACTCCTGAGCCCCACACTCCTTCCTCCATCCCACCCCTGTATTTCTGACTCTCAGGGGCTGCTCAGTAAAATGCCCATGCACCTCTGGGGCTGGTGAAAGGGAAGCTACTCTGTGCCCTGCTCCAACTGGTAAGACCTCTCCCACCTCCCAGGCCGTCACTCTCTCATAGCCTCAGCAGTGTGCCCTAGCTGGTCTGTGGGGCTCCAGGTGGTAGGCTTGGTGGCCTTCCCCATGGAAATCCCCACTCCAGGCAGATCATGAGGAGCCTCCGTTTCCTGCAATTGTGGCAGTCTGAAGAGAACCGGAGCAGAGCTGGAGGTGACTATGAGGCCTGGGCTCCAGGCATCCCCTGAGAGCAGATGGGGGCGCCCAGACCAGAATGCCCCACCACCACTACACCACACAGGTGAGAGCAAACTGACCTTCCCTTCTTTCCCCAACCCCACTTTAGACTAGGGGTTGTATCACCTTGAGATCAACCCAACTGGAAGGTGTTTCAGAGATTGCCTTAAAATGCAAGGGCCAAATCTAGAAGAGAGTGGTCCAGGCTTCTCACACCAGCCAAGGATTGAGCACTCTAGCTGCTCTGGGTTTGCCAATAATCTCCTACCTTCTCCCTAACTGGGGCCAGTTGTGGGGGGCACTGAGTCACTGGCCTCTTGAAAGGAGACTAAGTCTCATGCCTTCTCCTCTGGGAGCTGGGCTCCCCAGATGCATGGCAGGCAGTCAGCCACCCTCTACCCTTTACCTTCCAGCTGCAACCGTATTTTTGAGATTGGTGGCAGTTTCATCTCCTGAGAAAGACAGGTTTCCAGTAGGTAGATGGAGAGATGACATAGATGTTTCTATAGACTTGCCTTTCTCTTTGAGTGAGGAAGAAAGTGCTTTCCTGTGTGAACACATGAGTGAATGCACACGTGGATGGGCATGGGAAAGAAGGCACTCGGGACTCCCCATAAATGTAAACTCCACATTAGGGCTCTGATCTTCCATGATCTTTCAGATCATGTGGTCATTACAGCAGGGCTGACCAACACTCATTCTAAATTCCCTCCCTCCTTTTTTCCCCTCACAATAATGTGAATTGCTGGTAGTGACACAAGATTTGGAGATACATGATTATATGATCCAAGATGAAAATTAACTTCCATGACTGTCAGATGCACTATTTCTATAAGACAATTTATGGGATCATTACAATTAGCTTTGTACAAGGTGGTTTCATAAAGGCCTGTCTAAGCTGTAGTCAGAGAAGAGGGAATCGATTATTACCAGAGTTGTAATGACCGTGTGTGTTTTTGAAAGTAATAAAACTACATTGAAATATTCTGTGATTTAGACTTTTAAAAACTCCATGGGTCATGCCCTCAACACTAGTGTAGTAGAGAGGGTGGCCAATGTGTATATAAGTGTATGTATTGTGCCCCCACATGAGTGAGCAGATGTGAACATCTTATACCTCTCACAACCAGTAAGTCAGTAAGCATGTACATGAGTGGCTGTAGACAGACCTCCTGAGCATTCATGTACAAGGGTTGCCTTGGTGACACCCTCCTCTGCAAGGACAGCCCATAGATGAGGAGGTTGAGTTTGCCGTATGGGGTTCAGGGAGATGGTGTTTTCTCTAAGTCATAATCATACCTCATGCCTCTGTCTTGGGCTGGAGCACTGGCCCTGTAGTCCACCAGATCTAGGTGTGGAGTCCTGCTGTTTTTGTAGTCTTGTGACATTGAGCCAGTCCTTCAACCTCGTTAAATGGCAGTTTTCTCACTTACAAAAGAAGATAATAACGGTGTGGACTTTTTAGGCCTGGCATAAGGATTAAGGAAATGATGGAAGAAAATCGCTTACAGAGCATTCCACACCTATGCGAGGAGAAATGGTTCTTGTGGTGGTGCTGGGGGTGTGCGTGGTGAGAGGATATTGTTAGGCACAGAGGGGCCAAGCTTCTCCTCTAGCTGAGCAGAGACGGGAGAGTGAGGTTCCCAGGCACTCTTTTTTCACACTTAGAAAAGCATTAATTGTCCATCAAATTTTGTGCTTTTGTGAGGTCTTCAAACAAGGAGACTCATTCTCTTAATTATTAATTTTAGGAAATACTCTCAAAATGACCAGCAGCCTCCTTTCAGCCTCCCCACTCCCCAGTAGTCACTCTCCACCATCTGAAGCCAAAGAAGCTGCAAACAAAACTGGCGCTCCAGTCCAGCTTCCCACTCCCACAAATGCATCATTTTTAGCTGCTGTAAACAAATCCCTGGTCTCCTGTCATTGTTATCGTGTTGAGATAAAGATCTGCCCAATTAGCGTCCCTGCTGGAAAGCAAATAAATCAGCTGCTGGGGACCTACCCTTACGGTGGGCGGCCTTCTCTTACCCAGTCCTCGCCCTACACCAGGCTGTGCCCTCTTTCCTTTTCCCTCTGCGGTGGGTGAGAGCCTCTGGATTTGCTTGGTTTCTTATCTCTCTGCTTGGCCCCACACCTGCTGTGTGACTTTAGGCAAGTTACTTACCCTCTCTGAGCCTGTTTCCTTTCCATAAAGGAGTTAATGATGACTACCTTTTAGGGTTGTAGTGAGCGGCTATAACAATAGAAATAATATAGCTGACAACAATAACATTAACATTCCCACCACCAACAACCACATGGATAGTACTAGCCACTTTTCGTGGCTGTTCTACAAGCACCAATGGGCTCAGAGGTTAAGAGCCCCTCCTCCCCACCCAGCCCCCACAGAAGCTGGCAGACCATGGTCAAGAGACTTCTACTGGGCTAGGAGAGTTCCCTGACTCATTGGGTATGAAGATCCCAGAACATCGCCAGGCTGCTGCAAACTCTTGCTAAGTGTCCGCCATTGTTACTGCTTCTACTTCTTGCAACAGCTCTTGTGTTTGGCCCTATTAATATAACAATTTCAGAGGAGGGAACCGAGGCTCAGAAGGGTGAGGTAAATTGCCCAAGTTTTTAAAAATTCTTTGCCTTGAACACTCAGCTTCCTCTCTTCCCGCTTCTGCTTGTCCTGCGCGACGTAGGGACTGCCTGTCCAGACGCAGTTTTCTCTACTCTGCGAATTCCTCCTCCCTACTCGACAGCCCTCCCCTTCCTCAAATCTTCCTGCAGAGCCCAGACGGTGGTTCACAGCCCCCAAAAGGAATGTGCCCCTGTGACAGGATTGACTTGAAAATAAACACGACCGGACGGTGGGGCGGAGCCACCTCTAGCCCCCTCCCCTTCCCTCCTACGTGTACCCCCCACCTCCGCCCCCAAGAACAGTTTCCTTTCTCCCCACCTCGGTCCGGTCCTTCGCGTTCTATTCTGTCTGGGGCTGCCAGCCCTCGTCCCCGCATTCTGAGGTGCCTACTGTCAAGTTAACACTGATCATGATACTAAACGTTCCACCGGTGAACAAAGCATTCCACACAAAGGTCTCTTCCGATCGCTACATCCCTAGGAGACAAATATCGCCCCCGCCCCATGTTAGACTTTGAGGCCCCAGAATAAAAGCGTATGTCCAAGGTCACGAAGCAAGTAAGGAGTGGGTGCAGGACGCCTCTGCTCCATGCCTGGGTGGCAACGTCCCGCCCCAGTCAGACTCGGGGAACCATGACTCCCGGCTATCCGACCCTAAGGAGGCGGTTATCCAAGTGCCCCCAACCCCCATCCCGCGACCTCCTCGGGGCTGACCTACTGTCTCCGAGGCCTCGCTTGCCTTCTCCTGGGCGGCCTCTGCAACCCCGACGCAAAAGCAGGGCCCACTGGGATCCCACTGCTGGGTCCCTGGGAATAGGTCACAGGGCTTTCCGAGGAGGCTCCCCTCCTGCCTCTGTCCCGACCCCTCAGACCACTCTGTCCAGGCTCTAGGGACTTCCCACTGGAAAGCAACCCCCTGCAGCCCGGCGGGGCCGAGGATGCGCTGGAGCTAGGCTTCAGACCTCGGCAGCCAGGCACCCTGGAATCTGCGCAAGTGGCTGCATCTCGGGTAGGCACCGCGCGCTTCCTGAAGCAGAGTTGTGGATTCAAATTCTGTCTCCATGAGTCTCCAGGAAAATTTCGTTACCTCTCTGAGGTTTCTGCTTTTCTGATTTGTGGAACTGGGAATACTAGAAACATCTAGCTCTTAGGTCGCCTGATGATTCAAGGAAATTACACCTCTGTGAAGCACTTAGCGTGGTGCCCGGCACAAGAAGCGTCCAAATAAATGTTAATTATTTCGAAGCCCGGGAGAAGTAGAGGCTGACTTTTTCCGTTTGGGGTGTGAGCTCTGTGTTCCTGCGTGCACGGAGGCTGTGGATGTGACCAGGTGGCGCCCTTTAAGGCTGCGTCTGGCCACAGGGGAGCGAGAGTTTTTGAAGAGCCGGGCTCACCCCAGTTCCTCTGTTTGGGGCGGGCCCGGGCAGTTACGTTAATGCGAGCTGCGGCCGCGCGGCGACCTCACTGTGTGCGTCTGTCCTGAGCCGCGTTCGTGTCGCGGGGCCTGTGCGTGTTAGGAGCCGGGTCCCCGTTGACGCGCTTGAGGGGACCTCACCTGCGTTGGGTTTAGATTTCGGCCGGGACAAGAATCTCAGATTCACCTGACGGATGCGTGGCGTCCACGCTGTGTACACAAACCCCAGCGAGGCTGGAGTCCCGGGTTCTCGGCCTCTGGTTCATCAAACAATTTGCGCTATTAATGGTTATTTTATTTATATCGTTAGAATTGTTCCCCCTAGTCTGTTTACACCAAACGTCTGGCCGTTCCAGCCTCAGTGTTTGGACAGAGGATTATACTAATGGATAGCGAGCTAGGAGGGGAGAAGAAGGCGCGGCTGGAAATCGGGCTCCCGGACACCGCGCCGGGTGGGCCTGGAGGGAAGGCGGAGCGGGCCTCTCCCAGGCTCGACCTCTGACCTTAGAAGGGAAGGAAACTTGTCTGCCGCAATTGGAAACCTTGGCCTCCAGCGGGGTGGAGGCTGCCGCTCCCGGGACCCTTACCCCTCTTCTGGAAAGGCGGATACCAAACTCTAGGTCTTCTTGCTTGGGTGAGCACGCGTCAACAAGTAAACAAGACCAGGGGCTACCAGGATGGCGGCCACTTTGATTTCCTCGCTGTCGGCGGCGGGCGGCTTACTGTTTCGGCCTCCAAATCCGGATTAGGGCCAAGCCCCGGGCGCCTGGCGGCCGGCGGAGTTAGAACTGCCGTCAAAGGGCTGCCGCCCAGAAAGTGCGCACCTCAGGGAGCTGGAGAGGCTCTGCAGCGCCCGGCGCAGGATGCCCACACACGCACACACTGCTCGCCCTGGAACAAAACGCGTCCTGAGCATCCACCCAACGCAGTGGAAAGGCCGCCATCTGGCAATGGAAGAGTTGCCCACTGGCGCCCAGGACTAAAGTAGGGTTTCATGGATCTTGGCATCCTGCAGTTTGGAAAGACTAAGCCTGGAATTACTGACTTAGGAGACAAGTGTCTTTGCTACAGGGCTAGGGGCTGATGCGTGAATATAGATAATCATTTAGTTAGCATTTACTATGTGCCAGACACCGTGCCTAGCGCTTTTACTCCCCACAAAATCCTAGATACGATTATCCCTTTTTAACAGAAGAGAAAACAGGAGGCTTCGGTAATGAGCAAGATCTCACAGCTAGTAAGTAGTAGAGCCAGGATTCTAGCCATGTAGTCCGTCTACAGAGATAGGGTTCTCACTGTTTCGTAGTCTGAGCACTCGCTTGGGATCCTCTCCCCATAGGAGTGCGCATGGTACACGTGACCCTTTGCCAACAATTTCAGGGCTTTCAGGGAACCTCCTAGGTCGGGTTATACAACTCTCATTTGATTTCACGTTAATTTTGGACACAGATTAAGAAGGTAGTACTTTTTGTTTTACATCTGAAGGTTCCTGAAACTCAGAAGGGTGAAGTCACTTGCTCGAGATTACACTGATGGTAAACGTGGAGTTAGTCTTTCGAGTTTAGGAGAGGGTTTTGCTTTCGCGAGCACCACTTCTCCAGTCTCTCTAGACCCTGAAGTTCTTTTCCTTCCCGCTTGGCTTCCTATCGCCTCTCTGGCAGGAGGACGTGGGATCAGCCCTTGGGAGGATCTGAGCTTCTTGGGGGGCCTCTAGGAGGTGATCGGCTGGCGGGGGCTCAGCGCCAGACCCGGGTTGCCCTGTGCTCTGCGTACCGCGCTGCCACAACCCGCGCTCCGGTAAACGGTTTATCTAAAGACAACTTCTGTTTCTCGTTCGTGATCTGGAGTTGCCCTGCAGCCAGCAATGAAAAATGCTCCTTTTCCCGAGACTCTGGCGCTGGTGATTTATGTGGGAACCGTGCTGGCCCGCTAGGCCTGGGCTGAGTAGCTGAGTAGCTGAGTACCTACTCAGCCCAGGCCTAGCGTGTGGAGGGCGGGTGCGCCAGCCTGAAGGAGAATCTGGTGCCCCCGCCCTTCCAGAGCCCGCTTTTACGGCGCCCCCTTCCACCCCTACCCTCAGGACATTTTACAGCCGCTCCCCCAGGAAGCCCAGCGCTTTATCGCGGTAAAGTAAACACCATTATCGTAGGTCCATTAACACGGAGATTTTGGCGTTGTAAATAGACTGCGTGAGGGAGAAGGGCAGCCCCTGCGAACTCCCCTTGTAAAACGGTGAAGGTTCTCTAAGATTTATGGCCGCTGATTGGCCCCGCAACCTTCTAAGAAATCCCAGGCTTGCCCAAAGCCAGAAGATGGGGCATTCCCCCCTAACCTAGAAATCTCGCCCCGAGTGTTAGGACTGCGAGGGTAGGGGGTCCTCAGGACGTGTCTGGCCCAGTCATTAATTTTCTTTAAGTCACAAGCCTAGGAATGCCGATTCCTTTCCGGCTGTGGATGCAGAGATAAACTCTTAGCAGGAGCTGCCAGCCCAACCACCAGGATGCTTGTGTTCAGGCTTCTTTCTCATTTGTAAACTGGATAATGCTTTCAGCAGCTACTTGAGGAGTCTATAAAGTGGAGGGACTTGTAATTGGTGGGCACTGCCCAAACACCCATGAACCCAAGGCAGGCGTTTGGCAGGCTTGTTTGGCCTTACTTCTTTAGCCTCTCTTTCCAAAATGATATGGCCACCCTATTTATTCTTGGGCCAGCCTGTAAATATGAAATCAAGCAGGGATGATGGTGCTGGCACAAGAGTGGGCAGTCCTAGAGAAGAGTGAGCACTTCTCTGAGTTTCTATTTCTGAAGAGTATTTTGTGAATGGTTCCAGGAAGTTTCTGCTCATCTATAGAGTGGTTTTCTTAACCCCTCGAGTCAGTACTGATATTAAACAGTGGATTTTCAACTAGAAAGGGTGGCTCAGTTTGATTGGGAAAACAAAGGGACAAGTTGTCCAGGCCCAGGGAAGCTACAGGAAAACCCAGCCCCTCCTAACCCTTGCCAAAATCATGTTCAGGACACAGTCCCTGCCTAGCGTGGCTCCCTCTTTATCTCTGAGAACTCTGTAATTCTGGTGCAGTCCACCACCTGGCTGAAAGGTTGGCTTTTAGGGAGAAACAACAGAAAGAAAACAGAGAGCAGGGTTGCCAGAAATTGTTTTCTGGCATAACTGGCCTAGAGCAGGACTCTTTAAACTTTTTTTTTTGTGTGTGTGTATGTGTGCCAAGGACCTCAGTTGGC